GCATTATCAAATAAAGATTTCGCAGTTTATTTGAAGACTATTTTTATCTACCACTTCCAATAAAGAAGACATGACGACAAAGAGTCTCAGCTTGCTTATCTCCGTATTAAAATCTATTTCTCATTATCAATTAAACCCAGAGGATAATTATTTTCCGGAAATAAATAATTCAATCTTCTTAACTCTTCGGTCAGATGATTTCCATCAGCTTTCTCTTTTGCCAAATTTTCCAAGTCCGACGTCAAAGAGACTAGTCCCAAATGCACCATCAACTTTTGTCATGCAGTCGTTGTCAGCATCATCACAAAAGTAAACATTGGTGCGGCCTGAGTCCCAACTGGGATCCGGTGAGAATGAGACCCGGCAACAAAATAAACTCACAAAGCAGGCTTGCTTCATACGCCATTTTCACATGCTGCCACCGCGTCACACCACCGCTAGTGTCCGTTGGCCAATTGTATTCACAGCAAATATGTCGGTGGGATTGTCGAGAAGGCCCAATTTTTCGTGAGTAACAGCAGGTTTTTGAGACTACCACTAAATCAGATTTATAAATTGTGTTCACTTTATTTCGTTTAACACGATCAAGGACTGGCAGTCGAATGTTCCCACAATCATATGAAAATAGAGCTGGCGTGTCGCCTTGACGTTCACAAATGCATGCTTTCCCAAAAGCTGTTCTCATCCAGCCAGCAGTGGACTGCAGTTTCGACCTCGCCTAGGCCTTAGCAACACCTCAAACGGTAGCCGAACCATGACATTTCGGCGTCCGACTCCCGCTTGGGGTGTAGATGCGACCTAGGCAAGTTGGAAACTGCAGTCCACTTGTGGCTGGATGAGAAAACCTTTCGCGAAAGCAAGTCCATGCCAAAGTGATTGACTGTGGCAACATTCATCACGTTCAACGAAATAGGGTCAACTTTAATTTGCCAATACATTCGACTGCATTACTTATATCCCATTTGAGTAGGTGTCGAAATGACCACTTGATCTTGAATAATATATCTGCCGTGTAAAAAGATGAAAATAAAATACATGCTCTTATTGAAGAGCTGCTGGTAGGTAGGACCCCACCAAATGGAGTACAGCGAAAACCCGACGGGGGGCGGCTCGGGCCTAGGCGTCATCACGACGGTTCCACGCTTTCACTGGTCCGAATCCAAGCGGGCCTCTTTCCACGCCTCGTCAGCGCCACGATGGCCCAACCTGACTCATCCTTGGCTTCCTGGCGGAAAAGAAGAGCCGGCTTCTTGATGTCTCGTCCAATTGGCGATAAGCACATGTCCTCGGGCTCAAGTCGTCAGAAGCAGTTGTCTGTCCGAGTCCACCGCCCCACTTGGTCGACCCGGCCAGGCGCCTGGGCGGTGCAAAAGTTGCGGTATTGTCGCGCGGTGACAAATTGGCCCGGACACTCACTTCGTGTGTCAATAATGCTTCTCACATCATCATCTTCACACTGCCCTCTCACCCCACCCCACTCCACCCCACCCCACCCATTGAGGGCACAGGCCAGACTACTGATGTGACTACTGAAAGAAAAATGAGTGCTTCATGAGCACGTGGGCCAGGGCATGGAGGGTGGTGG